CTCTTCAAGGGAGCTATTATTATTCCCATTTTGCAGATGAAGAAATAGATTCGGTGAGGTTAGGTCAAACACAACTAAGAAGTGCCAAGGAGAAGAAACCTAATGTCCTGGCCGGTTTGGCTCGGTGGTTAGAGTATCGGCCCACAGACCAGAGAGTCCCGGGTTCAGTTCCTGCTAAGGGCACATACCTCGGTTGCAGTTTGTCCTGGACCCGATTGGGGGTCGTGTGGGTGGCAACCACTCGATGTGTCTTTCTCACACTGATGTTTCTCTCTCTCTCTCTTCCTCCCTCTCTTTTTCCTGCTCTATCTGAAGAGATAAATGCAAAAAATGTCCTCGAGTGAGGATAAAAAAAAGAAAAGAAACCTAATAATTGTCAGTGGCTTTGGGGGTTTGCAATTCCAGGGGCCAAGTGTATTTAACAAAGTCAAAGTCTTAGCCTTAAGGAAGAAACTCCAATGTTAAAACTCTGGAGGTTTCCTAAAAGGAGAGAAGAAAGCCTTTGAGCAGGAGAATTGCTAGCCCTTCTGTGGCATTATCCCAGAAGGTATTTCTTTTGCCCACTCAGCAAGTTTTCTCCAGCTTCTTAAATTAACTCTATGGCCCTCTGCACCTTGACTTAGAATTCCCCAAAGTCAGTAAAGATTCCATCCATTTTGTTTTTATCTTGGCCACTTTAATTATATGATAAACTGCAAGGACTTCCTTTCTTGGAGAATTTCCTTCCCAGGCTGAGGATGGTACTTTACCCTTGATGGTTACTGCTAGTTACCAAATAGCTGACCAGCCGTACACTCGGTGTCATCTATAATAAAGATAACCAATGTGAGAGGTAACAGAAGCAAAGGGAGCCTTTCTCCCCAGGCTTGGCTGCTGGACTGTACCCCCAAGAAGAAATCATGCTTTGAAAACCTAATAGCAATCATATTTTATCTGATTGTATGTGTAACATATGCGCATTATGAAAAATCTGAGAAAACCAAAATAGAAATCACTCATTATGCTACAAAGACGAAACATAACAAATGAGTCTTTTATTATGATTTGTGGGATGATAACACTGTGTGTTCATCTGTGCATGTGTTTGTATAACCCACCTATACCTGCTTGTCTGCAAATCGAAGGGAATACTGTGGGGTTTGTGGATTGTATAAAGATGATTGCAAGCCCATCAAAGAGAGCTTTTGTTTGTATGCAACTCATGTAAGAGTAAATATTCTGTGACTGCTTGTGTAGGACTCAAGGAAGAAATCCTGAGATGATGGCTATTGGCCAACATACAGATCCTGCTCTCCTGTCTTATAACATTTTCCCTGCATTGCTTTTTAAAACACTTTTTCATAATTCATGCCCCATCTCATATCACATTAACCCAACTAAAAATGTCATTATCCATTCAGTTCGACAGACAGCAGGCAGAGTGTGGTAGAAAATTACAATCATGCCAGTCAGCAACAAAGAATTCTAGTCCCCAGTACGTGGAGGACCCAATGATGGGCATGTGGTCCACCCCACTTTGCACTGCCCAGACATATGCTTAGATTCAGTATGGGTGGAGCCCTCTCTATACGCCCAGCATGCTTCTGAAGAGTTCTATGTAAATCAATTTTATGTTGCATCCCGTTTTGGTACATTAAGGAAGCTTCAAGCTTGACATCTACAGAGACTTCCTTTTAAACAGTAGTTTTCTTTATACCATGTTACTATTCCTCTAAACTAAATCTGAAAGATATTTTTGTGGGGTTTTTTTGTTTGTTTTGTTTTGTTTATTTGTTTCATTTTTTTTTTCTTTATTGATTTTAGAGGGAGGGGAAGGGAGAGAGAGAGATAGAAACATGGATGAGAGAGAACATGGACTGGCCGCCTCCTGCATGCCCCCCACTGGGGATCTGGCCCACAACCTGGGCATGTGCCCTGACCAGGAACTGAACCGGTGACCTCTTGGTGCACGGGTCAGTGCTCAACCACTGAGCCACACCAGCCGGGCTGAAAGATATTTTTGTACATGGGATTTTATTGAAGCAAAGTTCACTTGTACCACTAAGTTTATTAAAATAACAGAAGGACCATAGCCAGTGAAGCCAGTCATAGAAATTCAGCTTAAATAGCACCGAGTCCTCCAAACTTTAAGGTGGTCTGAGATTTCTTGAGAGTAAGACCCATCATACACACTTTGGTGCTGATGGATTATTAAACGGATACTTTGTGAGAATTTAGACAAGAATTCAGTAGTCGTGAAGAGTCTGTTCAGAATCATCCCGAGCAGATCAGGATGGTCATCCTCCTTCTTTTTAGGGTGGGCTTCAGGATAGGGAGATGGGTCGAGTACATTTCTGTTCCAGCAAATCATTTGACAGAGTCTCCCCCCTTCACTCACTGATAAGGTGCTGCCTGGTTGAACATTTACTTCAGTTCATGCACAGCTGGCCGAAACAGTGATCACTGGCTACCTAAAGTAGCTTCTAGTGAAGGGCCTTGGGCTCTGCATTTGATCCTGTCTACATGCCGCCAGACCGAATGAAAGCGTAGAAGGCACACTTACCAAACTTTAGATGGAACAAAGAAGTAGCCACATCGCAGGAGATAAGAGCTGAATGAGTACACCCCTCAGCCCACTCATGCGAAGAACAAACAACCCAGTGCTCTAAGCCCTTATGGCTTCATAAGAAGAAAATCCTTTTTTTTTTTTTTTTTTTTTCAGGATTTCCCTGCCCAGAGACTCTCTCTGAGTCTTGGCAACAGGGGAGGGCCTCAGATGCCCCGCCATCTCTCCACTGGGTATGCGTGTGAGTCTGCTCAGCTGCCCACAGTTGCTGTCCAGGCCACTGTCCCGACCCTGGGACGCCATGCAGCCCCAAGCTAAGGCCATAGTTGACTCACTTGCACAAACAGGAATGCCCTCTTTGCTTCTCACACAGCAAGCCGCGAGGCCCCTGGGGACACACCTTACACCCCAGACCACGTGGAGCTGGCTTGGAAGAACTGTGGGAGAGATGGGTCCCACAAAGCCATGTGTCCCTCCAGCCGCGGCCAACAGCCACCCTGTCTGTCCCATCTACCAGACTTCTCCAATCACCTCAATGTTTTCGGGTAGTTAAGAGATTGTTCCACTCACAACACATGGTAGCACAACTTTTTACACCGATCTGTGCAATGTGAAAGCAAAGCCTTTCAAATGAATGAGCCCTAAAGGGTCAAAAAACCAATTATACATGGTGATGATTCACAGAAAAAGACCTTGTGGTTTTCGTTGACCTGAACCTCAATATTTAACTGTTATGTGTCTCCTAAAAGAGTCAACATAACCTGGCTTTGTGATTGACATGCAAGGAAATGGTCTATTTACAATTTATGGGATTGCTGTGTTCCATTCATGGAGCAGCCTTTCAGGACTGATGCAGAGAGGGGAGCGGAAGGAAGGAGGGGGGCAGGCAGGGGAGGGGAGGGCAGGAGAGGAGAAGAAGTCAGATGCCTCAATACAACAACACAACTTCTAACAAGTAGACACTACTATAATATTTTAGGACTTTTCCCAATGCCTCAAGACTTTAGGAGCAAAGAATAGGTCTTATGTAATGAATTAAATCCATCCATCCATTCATTCAACAAATAATTAATATGTGCCAGGCACTGTTCTAGGTGCCGAGGACACAAAAATGGACAAACATCTCCCATACTCTGAGGAACGTATAGTCTTGTGTCAAAAAGGTAAAATCTAAACATAGATAACATTTCAAAATATGTTTTCCAAAACAAATGCTCAGAACAGTGTATTAGAGCATGTTGCTTTCCCTGTGCACGCTGGATAAAATGATTTCCTCAATGGTTCCAATTTGGCTTTCAAACACACAGGAGAGAATGAACAGCCACGTGGGTGCCCATCAGGCTCCACAAAGAATTCCACCCACTCAAGCCAGCCTGTTGGGGTTAAAGTGGTGGGCAGCCAAAGTGAGATCTAAATTTGTTGAAGCTGGATAATTAGTTACATGGATGTTTGAGATTTCTCTCTCTCTCTCTCTCTCTCTCTCTCTCTCTCTCTCTCTGGTAGAAATTTTCCATAATAAAAATACTATTAAAAAAAGAAATTCAGCAATTGGCCTGTGTGGACATACAAGGCCTCTTGAAGTCAAGGGATCCCATATATTTGAAGGTTTAAGCAATTTAAGCAGAAATGAATAACCATCTATCAGAAATGCTCTGAGAATGACTTTGGTGCTAGCTGGCATGGGTCAGTGGTTAGAGCATCAGCCAGTGCGCCGAAGGGTCACAGGTTCAATTCCTGGTCAAGGGCACGTACCTGGGTTGCAGGCTTGATGCAAGAGGCAACCAATCAATGTGTGCAAGAGGCAACCAATCAATGTGTCCCTCTCACATCAATCTCTCTCTCTCTCTCTCTTCCTCTCTCTCTCTCTCTCATTCCCCCTCTTCCCTTTCACTCACTCTAAAAATCAATGGAAAAAATATCCTCGGGTGAGGACTAACAAACAAAAAAGAATGACTTATATTAAATAAAAAGTATTGAAAGGGGCAACCTTAGATTCCTTTGGCTACTAAGATTCCATGTTTTAGTAGAAGATCTAAAGTACAATTGAAATCAAGTAAACATGGATTTGAGCTAATTCCAGAGACACTGCATATGGATTGCGGTCTGTTTACTCTCTAATGCTAACCAAATGTCAGGAAACCATGTACAGACCATCATTTATATCTGAGTAATTAATGATCATTTTCATAATTATTTCACGTATTTACTCTAAATCCTCTCTTCTTTTTGCTTCCCAAAAAACAGATTGCTTAAGCTAAAATAGGTGTGTATAGAGATCGTATTTTATAATATTTGTAAATTTTAGCCCTTCCTCCTAAATCTTAGCTGCATTAAAGTTACCTTCAAAACAATGTCCTTCTTCTAGGAGGCCCCTCACATAACCTCTTTATCTGCAGCTAATTTAAGTATGCTCCCCGCATGGTGTCCTAATTACACCTTTGTTATCTGCTATCAGATGACGCCCCTAATCAGCCAAGCCTGCGACCTTCTCCTGGCTCATTTAAAACGCTATGCGGAATCTGGGGACGCTTTCGACATCCAGAGGTAAGGGCTACATTACAGAGGACAAATCACATTTTTGAATTGCTGCTTCTTGTAACTGTACATAATTACTGGACAATTACCTCGGGACTGGCAAACTATGGAAATGCTAGAAGCTCATAAAAGCCTGGGTGGACTAATAAGTAGAAATGAAACCTGTGTAAAATGTGAAGCGAATGTGAACCCAGCCCAGGGAGGTGTGGCCTGTTGAGGGAGGCCGGAGGGGCAGTGGTTTGTGGGTAGATTCGCCCTCTGACTTCTGCAGACTTAGGAGTGGGCAGGATACGCCCAGGGAAGAAAGGACAGGGGCCTGGGAAAGTCCATGCATTTCTACTGGAAAAATTGTGGCACGTCTCAGGCTGGAAGCCATGAGTTACAGTGGCCACCAAATTTAGACGACGGATGATCTGGCTGTTGTCCCAGATGCTCTATGCTCACTTATGACAGATTAGGGGTCAGGTGGGGGTGGCAGACAAGCCAGAAGCCGACTCGTTCTTATCATCCTTGCTAATAAAATAATAACCTAATCATCACCGTCATTTACATTGTACCATACTGTTGACACGATTCTCTTGTACACATTCTTTCTGGTCATGAGATGCATGAGTTGGCCAAAGAGAAATTGTTTACTCAGCTATAAAGGCAGAGTCAACAACCCTGAAAACCCTTAAATTTTCCACCATTGGGATCAGATGAAATCACATTCAGTCGTCAAATTGTTGTTTTTTCCAATAGGGGCAGAGAGACATGTAATCAATGGTAGGGACGTTTTCAGGAAAAGCAGTCAAACTAAAAGAAGTCATCTGAAGAGGGCATTTCTTCCTCATGATAAGCAACTGGTTTTAGAATTTCTGAGGAAGAGGAACTGAGTGGGTGCCTACATCAAACCACGAAAATAGTCCATGAATACCCAGTTGTGAGCCCTTTAAAAAATAAACCGACTAGTCCTATGAGATAGCAAAAAAAAAAAAAAAAAAAATTATTCTAGTGTAAAACGGCCGTTTGGGGTGGTAGGTTTCCTAAAGCCCAAGAAGTTTGTGTTTCTGGAGCTCCCGCCAGACACTCCGTCTGTTTCTAAATCACGTGTGTTTTCTGTAATAATATAATATGTTCATGAAGCTGGTCCCAAAGTTTGTCTTGTATTTCTTTGCGAGTGCAGGGCCCCGTTCTCTGTTTGTTGCTCTAATGCAAACTGGAAACCCATGAGGAGGGAGAGGAGACAAAGCCAACACAACCAGACCATCAGGTTGTAGGTGCATCCATCATAATTGGCCCTGTATCAGTTCATTAGATTCTGCCTCTGAGCAGCTTTGGGGTGACGCACATAGGCTTTCGGTCCACGGTTCTCCCTCTGTCGTGGGAGGAAATTTTACAGCGTGCATTTCAGTGTTGGACTGGGCCTGCTGACGACAGCTGCCGCAGCCTGCAAGTTGCATGACGCTGTCCCCCGGCCCCATCTGTGTTCAGATCAGCTCCTGGTTATGTGTTATGTCCCCTCTGGTATGTCGCTGTCACTGCTCAGAGGGGCCACCCCCAGCCACTTTCTCCCGCCCCCTCCCTCCGACCTGCAGGCCACTCCTCTTTTGAGCAGATGGACCAAGTGGAGCTTGTTCGGGTGTTTGGTGGGTGGGCCAGTGGCAGAGTGCTTTTGACATTCAAATGGCTCCCTCTCCCGTAGGTGCTACAGTTGCTACAGCACAGACGTGGTGGCCAGTGTCGCCTTTGGCACCCAGGTGGACTCCCGGAACGCACCCGAGCACCCCTTCGTGCAGCACTGCAGGCGTTTCTTTGCCTGCTCCACCCCCAGACTTCTCCTGGGGCTACTCTGTACGTACAGCTCCGGCCCAGGGCGGTGCCGCCGGGCTGCTGCCAGATGGGCTGGCCCTGGACACGTGGGCGGTGCCAGGCTCTCGGGACCCAGCCTCTGCCGCTGGGGAAGGGCACTCGGGGGCTCTGGGAGTCACCCTGCAGAGTCTGCCCTGCAGAGACCTTGTCTACCCAGAGCCACCCAGTCTCTCCCTGTCACCAGCCGGGGGCCACTTCTTACCAACGCAGGTGGCCCTGGCCTCTCTCACCACCCTCTTCGGGAGATCAGCAGCTGAGCCCTCTGCTGAGTGTTTGGCACACATGGCCTTAGTCAGTGCTCGTATTGACCCTATGAGAAAGGGTTTCTCACCCCCATTTTACAGGTGGGAAAACCGAGGCTTAGGAAGCCGGAGCCAAGGGAGGCATATTTCCCCCTGCCAGCGAAATTCTTTGCAGACTTCTCTGATTGAGGCCCTGTGCACAGTGAAGTGGACATCCTATGTGACGGGTGACACGCAGGTCACCTAATGCTATGGGTACCAGTTCGTTTTCTTTACTTTTAGAAGTGAGTTTTCACCCTCTGGCCAATTCCGGTATCTTCTTGCTTTTACGAAAGCACTGAAGAGCTGTTTTTATTGTTACTAATTATCGCCATCATTTCTAACCATTTGCCGGGCTGGTAAATTCCATTCATTCCTCGGTCGGTTTCATTTCCGTTCCTGTCACTGTCCGTGGCCGCCGCTGTCACCTCCATCCGCTCCACACTGAAACTGGAGGAGTCGCAAAGGGGGTCAAGCAGCCTCCTCCTTTGCCCCTCCCCAGGGAGCTGCTCCAGCTGAGGTGGCCACTCAGCCACTAACCTCAGGGTGGCGGTTCTGTTGTCCCTGCCACTCTGCTCTCCGCCACTCCGGGCTGACCTCCCTGCCGGGTCACGCTGGTTCGGGCTCTGGCTCTTGAAAATGGGCAGAGTATTCTGAGAACTTGTGAGTCCAGAACCGTCCTCCCCAGCCCGGCTTCCACACAATGCCTGTGCACAGTAGGCCCACTGGGCCGAGCTCCCTGTCACCACCCAGGAGGCGGTGTGTCCCTGACCAGGTGGTTCTGCCCCAAGGACCTGGCGGCACGTGGCACAGCAGGGAGGCGCCTACAGGAGGTGGGGCCGGCATCCTTGTCAGCAGCTGTAACAGCAGCTCTCGGGGCGATTCAGGTGGAAGCTCTGGGGACATCCAGTGGGGGGAATGCAAATGACCAGGAAGTGGAGAGGCACATCGGTCTCTCCCACTTGCTAAGACATGAGACATAGCCTGCAATCTGTTCTCTCTTGATCAAAGACAAAGAGCTCGGGCCCTCATTTCTAGGAGCTGGAAAATTAATTTATAAGCATGAGATTGACTTCTTGAGGGCCAGATGGAAGTGGGGATTCGATTGTCGAAGTGTCTATCGGTGTGCAAGGAGCGGTGAGGAGTCCAGAGGTGGAATGAGATACAACCCTCCTCGAAGGGGCAGTTCATGGGAAGACGGGCCTCAAGTGACTCTAATTCAAGGCCAGGGTCTGCTTCCTGGCAACGGGCACCTCACAGCCTGGGTTTCTTCTCACCTCCTTTTCAATGGCATTTTTGTTTTTCTCTTTCAAGTATCATTTCCATCCATAATGGTCCCACTGGCCCGGATTTTGCCCAATAAGAACCGAGATGAACTGAACGGCTTTTTTAACAATCTCATTAGGAATGGGATCGCCTTGCGGGACCAGCAAGCAGCCGAAGAGGTAACGTGTTTAATAGGACACAGCTCCGAAATGGAATGGAGCCTAATTTGGCATCTCTTGCTGTCTCTTCTCTCTCTCTTCCCTCCCAACCCCGCCCACCACACCACGCCCTCCTGTACTAGTCTCTACCTAGAGCTTTCTGGAACAGCAGAAAGAAAGGAGGGAGGTTGAGAAGGAGCAAACCAGAGAGAGAAAGTGAGGGCAGACGGGAGGCACGGTGGGGAGAGGCCCAGAGCCACCTGTCCACACTCTGAGGCCAGCAGAATAAAGCTGCCCCCCAACCGCACGGCCTGTGTCAAGCATCACCACCTGCACAGGCCATAGTGACCCCAAAAGAATTCTCTAGGTAAATGTGTTCACATGTACATTTCATCAGCATATTCTTTGCATTGGAAACAGCAAGGATGGGGTTTTTTACAGCAAGAGCGGCGTCACGATTAGAGAGGATTTGGGCAAAGGTTACCAACACATTCCCTTTCAGCTCGAAGGATGTTCCTACAACATTTGTAGTTGGGTCCCCTTCCTGCACCAACTGAGACCAAGAGATGTCTCTCCTCTTTGCTGACTTGCACCATGTGGGCACGAAGTAGGAATTAAGTAAACATTTGTTGTTGAACTTGGCGAAGCGTGGAAGTAGGAATTTTAGTATTAAGAAAAAACAATTTCAATATTGGATGTTCTGGTGCATACATAATGCTACGCTCTAAGGGCCCCCTTGCATTCAAGAAAGTTGCTTAAAAGAAAAAACAAGGCTGAAATGTCTTATCCTGAATTGATTTGGACACAGGGTAGCTCTGAAAGGGTTTCCCAAAGCCTGGGTGACTCAGAGGATTGGTCAGGAGAGGGCATGAGGTCCCATTGTGACAACTTGGCTGAGAACGAGACCAAGGGGCAGGGCGTGACTGGGTGCCCGGAGCAGGCTCGGGTGGCAGCAGCCTTGCCCTGCCCAGCTTCGTCCTCTGGAGACTGGGCAGCAAAGGTGTCTGGGTCCAGAAGGTGGGGGAGGGCTGTCCAAGCTCACAGCGCCTCAGCCCACACCACCGTGAACTCAACCCGATGCCCCTGAAGGTGGAGGAAGAATGATCTAACTGGTATCCCTGGCCAGACTGCAGCCTGAAGAGACGAACACTCACCCAGGGCCATGCTTCTCCGGAGTGAGGCTGGAGCCTGGGGGAGGAGAGTGAGCAAGGCCTCGTTTTCAACCCTCAGTGCTGCTGTAAAGGGCTTCCCGATGAGCACGGGGTCACGCGCACCCTCGGCCCCCAGCCCACTCAGCCTGAAGCCCACTGGCTCTGGAGTCGGGCTGCAATTCTAAAAACCGTGGCACCCGAGTGGCTTCCTAAGAGGTGAGGGGTTATTAAAGATCCAATTACTGGGATTGCCTGGAGCTTTTCCTTTTATAAACTGGAGAGCTATTTGTTTCAAACAATGAGTTGATCTGAGAAAAACCTCCCAACCACAAATCCAGGTCTGCCTGTGTTCAGACAGAACTCTACGGTTACTAAGAAAACTTGCTTTAAACCTATCTAAACTCTGTAGACATTCCATCAAGCAGATGTGTTTTTGCGCAGTGGAAAACGCAGCACAGATGTTAAAAGGTAAATATTTTTCTAAGCTCTAGCCGATGGGCGGATTAGACACCTACATCTATCAGGGTGCGTAGGTTTCTTGGATATAACCATAAGGCAGCAGTGTTTCCGTCCTAAATAGGCACTGTTCAGATAGCCTCCGTGATGCAGTGCAGATAAAAGGACGCCGTCTGCACTGATGCCCCTCTGCAGACACGGGCCCTGGAGAGCAGCCCTTTCTGGCCCCGCCGGGAGGGGAGGGCAGACTCGTACAGGGCTCCCTGGCCCTGCAGCAGCCTGTCTCGGCCAGGAGGAGCGGTGAGGATGCCAGCTACATCCTGCCCTGCGAAAACCCAACGCTGTGGATGTGCTGGGCGCCCCCTCCTGTCATCGCCCTCGCCCCGCTCCAGCAAAGCCACACACAAGCCTCAGGAACCACAACTGCACCCCACACCGAGGCGTTCCAGACACGCTAGCCAAGATGCCAGAGGATGTCTGGGTCCCAGGCTGGCTGAGCGAGGAGAGGGTGGCACCATGCCAGCATGCCCTGCCTTCGCCCCACGGGACAGAGCCAGCAGTGGGGCCGCTGCGGCCGCCGGGTGGGGACCAAGCAGCAGGACGGAAGCCGGGGTAAGCTGTCCCTTGAGGAAGCCTTTGGAAAGTAGGATGAGCGGGGCCCGGGTGGAAAGAGGCAGCCAACTGGGCTGACCTTGGCCATTCTCTCGGCTACTCCCGCCGAGCGGGCTGGCAGGTGGCTGAGGCCCTGCCTCCTGAGGCTCAAGGTTCTTGCCGCCCGGGCTTAGCTGTGAGCTCTGTGGTGGCTCAGCAGACACCTCCACGGCCACAAACCTGAGAAGCAGAACGGCAAAGGTCTCACGATCCAAGCAAGTGTCCTGCCCCAAACGGCTCGGAGTTGTGAGCAAATCCAACACAGCCTTCCTCGAACGCACCTGTGCCGCCTTTTTCTTTGTGGAATTATTTACTGCCTACCTCACACGGGCTCAGGCATCACCAGGCCTGGGGGGCGGGGGGCACAGGGTCCTGCCCCGGAGACTCTTCTATTCCGATAGAAGGCAAAAAAGCAACCACGTGTGAAATAACAACAATCTCAAAGGATGGGACTGAGCGTTAATGGGTGTGGCAAGGTTCTTCATGCACCAGAAACCCAGAAGCCAATAAACTGAGAAGATGCTACGAGTAACGCACTTCGAAATTAGAATATTATATCGGCATTTCTGATGCTCTCCTCTTGCTGTGTAATTCTTCGAACTTCTGAAAAGAGTAACTATTTTGTCACTCATAACATGAAAGAGCTTTTCAAAGAAGGGATGTGCCAGGGATATACTCAGTCAAGTCCAAGGTAATGTGTAAACGCTTCTATGGTTATGATTAGTGATAGTAAAAATATGAAGAATATGCACATTGCTGATGAGTAAGATAAGGGAACATGGTAAGACAGCGCTAACCACTTAAATGGGGTGGGGGATTCCTAAGAAAAAAGGGTACCCGATATGAAGAGGCCAGGCTAAGGGATGCAAAATGCAGGCTGGAGACTTTGAAGACAAGATTCCCCAAAGTTCGTCTCCCCTCCCCTCTCCCCTCCTCCCAGGTTCTGTTAACTTCCTGCTGCGTCAGAAAAACACAGCCACCCATAGAAGCCCTGACCTGTGCCTAAGTGAACGATGGAGCACTTTCTTTGACTTAAATCTATATGATGCTTTCATCGTTTTATTGGTGGAAAACCCACCGACCAACATACAAACTGGTGAAGTAGAAAATCAAAGCCCCTGGTTCTCCCATCTCCTCCAGCTCACTGTGAACTGTGGAGCATGACTGTTGCTAAAGATTTTCTATGATGGACAAAGACGCGCCATCCTGTGCCTTGTACTCTGACTGTGTTTACAGAAATGAGATTCTACCTCGCATATTATTTTGCAGTGTACTGTTTTACTCACCGGAGTGGCCTAACATCTTTCTAATCAGACAGCCTCATCCTGACAGCATCACAGTCTGCTCTCGGCTGTACCAGTCTGTGAACCAGAACGGACTGAGGGGCATTCGGGGGGCTCCAGGGTCTTGCCATCTCAGATAACCCACAGCAAGAATCCTTGTTCTGTTTTTAAGGTGTGTTTTTTTTTCTTTTATTGATTTTAGAGAGAGAGGAAGGGAGAGGGAGAGAGAGATGGAAACGTCGAGGAGAGAGAACATTGATTGGCCGCCTCCTGCATGCCCCCCACTGGGAATTTGGCCCACAACCCGGTCATGTGCCCTGACTGGGAATCAAACCGGCGACCTCTTGGTGCATGGATCAGTGCTCAACCACTGAGCCACACCAGCCAGACCCTTGTTCTATCTCTTAAGCTGCACAAGCATGTCTTCTTTTGTACTCCAAGAGACCCCATGTATGCAACCCTGGGCCATAATGTGCATTTCCTTCTTTTGTCCCTTAGAGGCGGAGAGACTTCCTCCAAATGGTCCTGGATGCCCGGTGTTCTGCCACCTCAGTGGGCGTGGAGAACTTTGACATCGTCACACAAGTCTTCTCCGATGAATGCTCAGCAGACCCCACCCGGAACCACCAGCCCCGACTCCCGTCCACGCCTCTGAGTGTGGACGAGGTGGTGGGCCAGGCCGTCCTCTTCCTCATCGCTGGCTACGAGATCGTCACCAACACACTCTCTTTCACCACCTACCTGCTGGCCACCCACCCTGACTGCCAAGAGAAGCTTCTGAGAGAGGTGGACCGTTTTAACGAGACACACGTGAGTAAAGCTGGGTCCGGTGGCCCAGGTGAAACCCACACGACGATTGATTTTGTGTTTGTCGAAGTGAAACTTATTTCTGATCACTGTCTTGCTAAAATCGCAGTCTAAGTTGATGAGATGGAGCAGGGCCGCTGCCCGCCTTCTCGGTCTCTCTGGGTTAGCAAGTAGCATGGAGTGTTCGGAACAACAGACACAACAAGAAAGAGAAAAATTGTGCACGTGCCCTCACTGTTTGGGGCAGTCCACGAAAGCAGGCCTGGCTCAGGGTGGCTGCCAGGTTCTCCAGGCTCGGGGTCAAAGGTCAGCGACGGGGCACAGGTGTGGTTCCCAATGTTCTGACTGTAGGGTCCTCATGCTCGGAAGCAGGTGTGAGCCAGAAAATGAAGCCAAACTGGAAGGCAGGAGTGGGCATAACGAAGATGGGTGAACACAGAAGAGGAGGTGACCTGGGGCCTGCGGGTGCCCAAATTCTGGGTCTTCCTTCTAGAGGAGGCCCCTCCTTGCTGGACTTGAAGCTCGCGTTCGAGGGCGCCGGATTAGGCTACTTTATCACTCCGGTTTTTTCTGGATGCTTATTGCGTGTGCTGCTTTGACTTTTGAGGTGTTAAAGAAAATCAAATCTGTGCTTTAAAAGGAAGACCACTGTAATGGAATCCTTCCTCTTGCCTTCTGATGGAATGATTACGGTTGCCGTTTGGGGAGGTGGCCCATTCTGTGATTGGAACCATTAGAACTGTTTTCGTATATTGAGCTGAAAACTGCTTCCCAGAAAATTCTACTTCTTTGTCCCACTGGGGAAGTGAATGCAAGTTAGCCTTTCTTCTCCAGTGCATTCACTCTGTTACTAATTGCTTCGAGTTTGGGCTCATCACACGCCACGGTCAGCCTAAAGTTCCACAATGTTACGGCAACGGCCGTGCCGGACCTTCCCAATCCATTGCTCGTACAATGGACTTTTTGAGCCTAGATGCAAACGTTTATATTTATCCTTATTATTGCTCAAGTCAGTCAAAATAATTTTGAATCTTGCTTCTGCCATCTGTCATGTTAGCAATTCCTCCAGCTTTGTGTCATCTGAGACTTGCTAAGTGTGTCTCCTATTTCATCCAAGTCATTGATTAAAATGTTGAACAGGACAGGGCTTCCCTCCAGGTTGACATTGATCCATTAATCAATATCCTTTGGGCATGGAGTCTCCACAAGCCACGAATCCAAATCACCCTGCCACCCACTCCCACCACCGAGCAGATCCTACTTTGTTGATAGCTGTGTGGCTTTTTTTATAATTGGGGAGAGGGAGGAGAAGGGACCAAAGATGATTGGGGTGCATGCCGCAGGAGAAACAACAACACCTGTTGGGATGTATTTGCTGGCAGGTAACAAAATCCCAAACAAAACTGATTTAAAGGGGAGGGGGCGGTATTAGGGCAGAAAATTGAGCAGCTCAGGAATAGATACGGCTTCTGGCCAATCTGCATCAAGGCTTCAGTGATGCGCTCAGGTCCCAGGTCTCCAGTTCTTGGTCGGCTTCCCCAGAGCGGCTCATTCTCACTGCGCTCTCCTCTGGAAGCCCCAGGCAGCCTGCCAACAACGTCTGCACTGCAGGCTTCCCTGCTCCCGATCAATGGAGCAGAGTGTCTGTGGTCCTAGACTCACAGTAAGACGGTGAGGTTCCCTCTGGCGGAAAAGCGCAGGTCACTGCTCGCTCCTGAAGTGACCATTGCGGCCAGGAGAATGGGGGGATGGATGGGCTTCAACCAATCGATCGTACCCCCAGAATCAATCATCCTCAAGTTTAGATGACTGAGAACTTGGGGAGCGCCTCCCAAAGGAGGTTCTAGCTGTTACGTCAGGAAGGCAGTAAAGACCGGTCTTAAATAAACCAAGGGCAGGTCAGACTAAAGACCTTTAAGCTCTGATGAGTGCCCAGCAGTTGGCAAGAGTGGCAGTGGGTTACCCAGGTAGAAGTCATGATCCTCACCTTCAGGGAATTTAATCACCAACTGGCCCTGGCCGGTGTGGCTCAGCGGTTAGAGCATCAGCCCACGGACCAATGAGTCGCAGGTTCTATTCCGGCCAAGGGCACGTACCTCGGTTGTGATTCGTCCCCGGCCCTGGTTGGGGTCGTGTGGGAGGCAACCAGTTGATGTGTCCCTCTCACATTGATCTTTCTCTCTCGCTCCCTTCCACTCTATCTGAACAAAAATGGAAAAATGTCCTCAGGGGAGGATAAAAAAAAAAATCACCAACTGAAAAAAAATGGCAAAAAATAGATAAGATAAGAAGTTATAGCTATTAAAACAATACCTCCCTTCCCAATAAAACCCTCCAGGGCAATAGAAGGCAGCAGAGAGTCGAGTCCAGACTGTGCGGTGTCACGGAGGGAGCATGGGTGCTAGCAGTCGCTCGCCAGCACCATCATGACTATACCTGGTAGAGTGCCCCTCCCAGGAGGGGGTGCTCCATCGGCTGCCAGCCAGTGGCCCTCAGGAGCACAAGTCCGCACCTCTGACACAGCCTTAACTGGCCATGACCTCCAGGAAGATGGCAGTGTCTTACGCACCCTGGTCTCCTTCAAATCCCCCTGCCTAGGATGGGGGCGTCTTTCCCCAGAGGACCGCCTCCCACCAGACTGCAGAATGTTGCCAGGCACTGAGGGCCCTGGGCAAAGGAACATTTTAGTAGGTAATGCTTTCAAACTTTAGAGCACCTAAAACCATCTGGGAAGAGTGTTTAAAATGCAGGTTCCAGGGGCCAGAGCCTAGGAACCTGCATTGAAATTAACATCCCAGGTGGTTTTGATGCAGGTGGTCCCTAGTTACACTCTGAGTAGGCAGCTTAGACCCTCGGGGTCCAGATCCCAATTCTAAGAAGAAACAGAGCCCAGAGCCCTGCCCCAGCCACGCAAGGCATTTTCTTTCTCCAGGTAACTGGCAGATTGTCTCTGAGAAATAGGAATACAGTGTATTTTTTTAGATTAAATCCAGTAGTCACAATAGTGTTAATAGTAGTATAGCCTTGCACATGGTATGTACTCAATAACTATACGTAGGTTCTCTTTTTTCTTTTATTTTCCTTCTTTTATTCTTCTCCTTCTCCTTTCCATAATCAGAATTTTGTTAATATGGGCCATCTGTCAGGACATGGAAATGCAGATTATATACGTTCACACGTTAGATATTTTCCTGGAAATTAGCATTAGTCAAGAATCACTTGTTATAATTTCCTGCCGGTTTGCAGTCAACAAATATTTCTTGAGTGCCAGTTAATGCCAGATTCGGGTTCCAGACGCTACAGCCAAGGGTGTCCTGACCCAGCTCTGCCACAGTGTCCCTGCAGAGCCCCCACACCTCATCAGACGCCTCCCCTGGTACCTGTCAGTGAGGCGGCTGGACTCGAACTCTGCCGTTTGTTTTCCCTGAGTCATATCCTTCTAGGGCAACACTCTGAGAATCTCATGAAATCTATGTCCCTCTTTCCAAAAAAAAAGAGTACATATGTGCCCTGTATCCGTTAGGATTTTTTCTGTTGACAGTGTTATAAAACTCAAAGGAGTTTGGCTCAGGAAGTTAATGGACCCACATACCTGAAAACTGGGGTGTGGGCGCACCTTCGGGTGAGGCCTGATGCAGGGTTTGCACTCTGTCGCCGGCCGAGCTGTTCCTTCCCCCATCTCCCAGCTCCGCTCCGGGCACACTCCATTCTCAGACAGCGTCTCCCCCACGGTCTCAAGACAGCTGTGTAACCAGGATGTGCAACAGTCTGAACCAAGAGAGGTGCACACACGAAAGTATCGTGTGACTTCCCCGTTTATTCTTTTCAATGTGCTTTGATGAAACGCCTCTCTCCTTCCTTGATGATGTACTCCAGGTGGATCTCGAAAGTTTCTGTCACTTTTAGGCATTACAAAGTCCAGACCACTCTGGTCCAGTTTAGAACTGTACTCTCAGATCCAGGTGAATGCTCGTCTATCCCCTTAGCTCAGGCTGACCTGTGGCCCCAGGAAGCTGACCTGGGGAGAGAGTGTTGTCTCTTCTTCCACCCATTTTTTCTTCCCTTGTCCCTTCTGGGCCCCCTTCTCCTCCCACGGTTGGGGCCAGGGAACAGATCCCCACATCCTGCTTCACTGGGCTCCTCTCGGCCGTCCCTGCAGCGGCCTCTAGCATGGAGAGGAGCCAGCGTTATTCACGGGGCTCCTGGGACTTCCCACTCCACGGGTCCCCGAGGGGGGAGGGACCCCAGCTCCCATTGCCAGCTCCTGCCACACAGCTTCTTGGTGGCGGGGTCTCCTGGTGGCAGTCGGCCCTCTCGAGCAGCTTCCATGCGTTCCACAGTGTCCATGTGGCCCCCAGGGGACACACATCTCGGCCACACCGACAGTGGCTGCTCCCTCTGCTGTCCCCTCTGCTCTGACATCTCTCTCCAGTTACCTTTCCTGCGCTCAAACGGGCAGGGAGGGCAAGTCGGCAATGCCACTCTGTCGGCTGGTGACCGCCTGGAGAATGAAACTCCAGGCCCAGGCTGCCCCCGCTCCCTAGGGACAAGGGGAGGATCGTCTCTGGGCTGACGACTCCCTGCTCTGACACGTTTCCACACCACGCAGGCCGAGCCTAAGAAGTAGGGGAGGGATTCAGGGACAGCAGGGAACAGCCGGTCTCTGTCCTGGACATCGCTGGGAAAGTCTCACGTGATCTCACTGACAGCGACTTCGTCGTGTCTAAGTGGGGCCTCACTTGAACCGCTCAGATTTTCTGTGGATCCCCAAACCTCTGTTACTGGAAGTGGGGTGAATGGCTGCCGAGTGGCCAGAAAACTGTGTGTCCACCCGCAGACAGAATCTGTGGTTTCCAGATAGAAGCCCCCACGTTCAAATTTCTTGCTATGTGACCAGGCTCACCTTCCTCTGAACGTTTGAAAACGAACTTTGCAGAGTCAGTGGCTTAAGGCTGCGCGCTGTCCGTGCTGAGTGCCGTGCATGGCCCGCCCTCGGGGACTTC